GAAATGATGATGCTTCTTGACGTTGGTTCTAAATCATGGGACCTGGCTCAAAATAGCAATAGCACTTCGACTTATATACCACTTCACAGTGCTTTTACAGCCCTCTCTCAGCGGTTTACAGAGTCAGCCTATTGCCCCCAACAATCTGGGTCCTCATTTTACCGACCTCGGAAGGATGGAAGGCTGAGTCAACTTTGAGCCGGTTAGGATCGAACTGCTGGCAACGAGCAGAATCAGCCGGGAATTCTGCATTTTAACCACTGTGCCACCATGGCTCTATTTGCCAGGTAGACACAGCCATACAGCAAAGCACAGTGGTTAGAGTGCAGTACTGCAGGCTACTTCTGCTGCCTGCCGGCTGCCTGCAATTTGGCAGCTCGAATCTCACCAGGCTCAAGGGTGGCTCAGCCTTCCATCCTTCTTAGGTCGGTAAATTGAGGACTCGGATTGTTGGGGGCAAGAGGCTGACTATGTAAATCACTTAGAGAGGGCTGTAAAGCACTGTGAAGTTAGTGAGATTCAAACTGCCAAATTGCAGTCAGCAGAAGTAGCCTGCAGTACTGCGTTCTAACCACTGAGCCACCACAGCTCTCTCACAGATCACCACAAATCCAGGAAATCCAGCAACCTCTCTCTGGAGATCCCACGAGAACCCTTGCTGATATCTTTTATCTCTCTGCATCTTTATCTATCTTCATCTTGCTGAATCAGAGACTAAGACAGGCTGACTCAGAGAGCAGCAATCTAGCTTTTCGTTCCCCAGCCTCTACCCAAGTGAAGTGATGCTCAAAAACATTTAAATCTGAGACCTAAATTGCTGGAGAGGAGAAATCTTTTTAATGTTTAATGTTTTCTTCTGCTGCAAGGATGATGGGTTATAAAGAGTGCATTAGGGGTCTTTGGGTGGGGATGGGACAACTTGCCATCGTCAACTCACTGCGACAAGCTCACTGCAGCCAACTCGCCACGGCCAACTCACCGCGAGACAACTTGTTGCAGGACAATTTAACAATTCTATTTATTTAAAATAAATAAAAATTCTTTTAATTTTTTCTATTCACATTTCATTCTGTCCCTTCTTTTGCATCCTTTCTTTAATGATTCTATTCCACCATTTTTTGGGGGGTATTAGTGTAACTCTTATCCCGCAGTGAGTTGGCCATGGCGAATTGTCATAGACCCCATTGGGTGAGGCTTCAGGCTGTTGGGTTAGTTTGAGCGAGAGAAAGAGGAGAGACATGGAGGCATCTGAATCGGGGGTGAAATAAAGCAGGTTTTGATGGGTTCTGGAGAACCGGTAGCGGAAATTTTGAGCAGTTTGGAGAACCGGTAGCAGAAATTTTAAGTAGTTCGGAGAACTGGCAAATTTCACCTCTGGCTGGCCCCTGGAGTGAGGTGGGAATAGAGATTTTGCAATATCCTTCCCCCAGGAGTGGGGAAGGAATGGGGATTTTGCAGTATCCTTCTCCTGGAGTGGGGTGGGAATGGAGATTTTGCAGTATCCTTCCCCTGCCACGCCCACCAAGCCACACCATGCCCACCAAGCCACGCCCACAGAACCAGTAGTAAAAAAAATTGGATTTCACCACTGATCTGAATGGACATCTGGGGAAAGAAGGGGCTTCCCTCATCTATTTCAGCTGCCTCCCTGGCTCCATTTGAGGGAACCAGCCTCAGGCCTACGTCGAAATATTTCTTTATCAAGTCATGACCTCCTAATTGCTTGATATTGCTCATGGCTCTAAACCAGGGCTCTCCAAACAGGGCAAATTTTAGACTTGTGGACTTCAACTCTCAGAATTCCTGGCTTAGGAATTCTGGGAGTTGAAGTCCACATGTCATAAAGTTACCAAATTTGGAGACCCCCTGCTCTAAACCAAGAGTCTCTTTTCTGAAGCACGTGTGCTGAATTCTTGACAGAAAATATTTACTTTCATAGTGAAGGTAGACAAAATCCATTTTTGGGTACGTCTCTAGCCTTAGGATGTGAATATAAAAGAAGCCAATGCTTGCTCTGTCCATCTGTCTAAACTACCTATGATCTGTCTACCTGTCTGTCAAATTTATAATTTAAGCCTGTTCTAAAAATCTACCCCTTTCCTATTGATTCAGCTATCCAGGAAAACCAAAGTCCATTATCAGCCCCAGAAATTCACAAGGCGACTTGGAACCAACCTTCACTCCGACCAGCAGAATTTACACGCTTATTTGGGGTGTGTGTGTGTGTGGAATTATTATGTACGTCACCTTGAGCTTCTAGGAAAGAAAAAAAAAAGGGACAGGTGGTATTCAATTGTTTGAAAGAATGAAAGAAAAGCGGGGGATTGCCGGATTGCTTCCTAAACAACATAAATGATGAAATATACCCTGTTTTCCCCAAAATAAGACCCAACCAGAAAATAAGCCCTAGCATTATTTTTCAGAATGCTTGTAATAAAAGCCCTACCCACAAAATAAACCCCAGTTAAGATTGTCAGCCAGATGGATGCATTTAGTACTGTATTTCCCCCAAAATAAGACCTAACTGGAAAATAAGCCCTACCATTATTTTTCAGAATGCTCGTAATATAAGCCCTACCCCAAAAATAAGCCCCAGTTAAGATTGTCAACCAGAGAGTACTGTATTTTCCCCCAAATAAGTCCTAACCGGAAATTAAGCCATGATGCGACTAATTTTTTGAGAGCAAAAAATTAATATAAGACCCGGTCTTATTTTGGAGTGGAAACACGGTATCAGTTCTTACTGAAGACATCATTACATCTTTCAGGTTTTCCTTCAAAAAATAAAACCAAAATTGTTTAGCTTCAAAACCTTGAGCAATATCCAGTCGGTAGCAGCTGTGTTCCAAAATTATTAGGGCTAGAACCAGATTTTTTTGGGGGGGGTGTCACTCAGTAGCCAGAGCCAGTGCCCCCCCCCCCGGAAAGTCATTTCGGGACAAACTGCTTGGTTTCTGAGCCATTCCTATTTACTTTAGGAAAAGCAAAGGAAGCTGAAGTCTGCTTCTCTGCGTTTTGGGGGAAAACTTGGGCCCCCCAACTACAGGTAGTCCTCGACTTACAACAGTTCCATTTAGTGACCGTTCAAAGTTACAACGGCACTGAAAAGAGCGACTTATGGCTGTTTTTCACACTTACGACCATTGCAGCATTCCCAGGTCCATGTAATGAAAATTCAGATGTTTAGCAACTGGTTCATTTTTAAAGGCCGGTCCTTTGATATTTCCAGGCCGGTCCAATAGGCCGGATTTAAGCACTCCACGGCTTCAGCCCACAGGCCTTGAGTTTGATACCCCTTGTATAGATCATTACTCACAATAAAGATTGTATGGGTGGAAGGTACAGAGTCATTTGGGTTGACTAGCATAGTTTTTTTGGGGGGGCAATTACTCAAGATATGCTAATTGGCCTGAAAAACCTATTAAGGAATTTTCACACGACATTAGTATAATAAATGGCTGCTGAATTACAATTATCTATAGGAAATAGAGAATAAACTAATATATTAATACTTAGTCATGTTTTTAGTTTCTTTTTAGGTCAATATCTGTGAAGGCCAATGACCTACATGAACAATTACCTCACAGTTTAACTCCATTGCTCTCCACATTGTCATTTTGGACAACGATAAAGGAAAGTTTGGGGTAAAGTGCCAGCATGCAGATCTCACAATACCTCACTTCTAGATTCATCTGCTGTGGCTTTAAATGTCCAGAAGTGATGTCTGGAAGACATGATGATCTACTGGAAATAAGTAACTGAAATTAAATCTGAACAAGAAAAATGTGTTCAGTGTTGAAAATGGGTCATGCTTGGAGCATTTAAGAAATTTGAAATCTTCCTCCATATCCCCAGAAACAGTGTCCGCCATTTATTAAACACTTATGGGTTTTGTAGTCGCTGCCCACTATCGTGTTAAAATAGGCAAATCCAAAATATTTTGAAATGATAGTGAGGGTAAAGTTAAATATAGTCCAATGTGGAAATGGGTGACAAAATAATATAAAATAATTCTGCCCAGCAACTTGGTGGGAACAAATGTGAGTACCTGACCATCATCTATGCCAAGAACCTCGCAAGAGAAGTCCAACAGGTATTCAACTGCTCTCTTAACAAAATGCCCACAAAAATAGGTGTGGACAACCTAAGATGGTCCTGCTAATTTGCTTCTGGAGGTGATGATTTGTGCTTCACTGGTCTTTAAAAACCGAAGGACACTCAAGGAAGTGCAAGTCATCGTCCCCCAGGAGAAAATAATTTAAGTGTGTTAACCTCGATTTGTTGGTGGTGTTAGTGATGATGATGATGATGATGATGATGATGATGATGATGATGATAATCCTAAAATTGATCCACTACAAAATGAAGATTTCTTTATTCAAGTTTATGGATTATAATCTAACATGCTGCTCCGATGTGGTTAGTTAGAGTTAGGTTAGAGACCCAAAGGATTTCATCCCGCAGTGGAGTGGTTTAAGATAACGATGATGATGACGACAACAAAAACAATAATGATGATCTGTTTTAGATGCTAATTGGTTCTCCTAATAGGTTGCTCTTCTTTTTGCACACTCTGGAGTCCTTGATGCTCTCTGAGGTTGTCTGCAGACTTGCTTACATACATCAGTGCCCTGATGATGTTACCTAGCTGATGTTACCTAGCTGCAAAGCAACAACTAAATTCAGAAAATCCCCAGGACTCCACAGTTCAACCCAGACTTACACACTGTGTGTATTCTCTTTCTGCACACTGTACACCGTTAAGTTCAGTATCATCGTCAGACTTGCTTACAGACTCCTTTCTCCCTTTCTGCAGAAGAGCTGCCTTCCTCGTTTTCTGCAAGCTCCCTATGAAAAAGCTGCCCTCCATCGCTCCTTCTCTGCATATAATCCATCTGAAAATAACTTAAAAGACATTTGAAGGGCTTCTGATTGCACCCACCTCCCCACTCCCACCTCGTTCCTTCCTTAGTTGGTAACAAATGACTCTCTTTACCTAATGGTTGCATACTCCTTGATTATTTTGTAGCTACTTTTTTTTAAAAAAAAAACCAACAACAACGGAATGTTAAATCTCTGTGTGGGCCTTCTCCTCTTTGCTAGCGTTGAGCCTGTTGGTGCAGTTTTTCCTTTCCAAGGCCAGCTTTATGTCCAGTTCCCGGAGCTGTTTCAGGAACCCGCGGTTCGGGAGGATGCATCTGTGCTTGAGCACCTGGGCAATGGCATCCACCACTGTCATGTGCTTGTAAATCATCAGATAGGCTAAGACCAAGGCTGCTGAGCGGCTACGCCCCATGGCACAGTGGACCAAGATCTTGTCTGCAAAGATCAAGAAACCAAAACAGAGAGAGAGAGTGAGAGAAAGAAACCACTGAGATTTGGCATCACAGAGACTTTGATTTTGTGCTGGTGTGCTCTTGGGCAGCACACAGATCTACAGGGGTCTCAGCAAGTGTAAGGATCTTGAATATCTTAGGATCCAGTGGCGACTGTCTTTTAAAGAATCCACTACAGTGCTCCTCATGGGCGTTTAAGATTCATGAGAACAAGAGCTCTTGAAATCAGTGAAATGGACAGGCAAACAGGCATAGAGCCACATTTCAGTGGTGTAAATGGTAGTTTAGATGTGGCTCATGCTTGTGTGGGGGAGAAAAAGAGATGGAGAGAGGGGGAGAGAGAGAGAGAGGAGAAAGGGAGAGAGAGGGAGAAAGGGAGAGAGATGGAGAGAGGAGAAAGGGAGAGAGATGGAGAGAGAGGAGAAAGGGAAAGGGAGAAAGGGAGAGGGGAGAGATGGAGAAAGGGAGAAAGTGTGAGAGATGGAAAAAGGGAAAGAGGAGAAAGGAGAGAGATGGAGAAAGGGAGAGAGATGGAGAGAGAGGAGAAAGGGAAAGAGGGAGAAAGGGAGAGGGGAGAGAGATGGAGAAAGGGAGAGAGATGGAGAGAGAGAGGAGAAAGGGAAAGGGAGAAAGGGAGAGGGGAGAGATGGAGAAAGTGAGAAAGTGAGAGAGAGTGAGAGATGGAGAAAGGGAAAGGAGGAGGAGAGAGATGGAGAAAGGGAGAGAGATGGAGAAAGGGGGAGAGGGGAGAAAGGGAGAGAGAGAAGGAGAGGAAGAAGGAGATATGGAGAAAGGGAGAGAGGGAGAGAGGGAAAGAAGGAGAGGGGGTAGATATGGAGAAAGGGAGAGAGAAGGAGAGGGAGAAAGGGAGAGAGGGCAAAAAAGGCAGAAAGGGAGAGAGGACAAAAGAGGCAGAAAGGGAGAGAGAGAGATGGAGAGAGAGAGAAGAGGGAGAAAGGAAGGGAGAGGGAGAGAGAGATCACATGCTTTTCTTTTAAGCAGAATAGGAAAAATGTTTAAAATAAAAAACTTTTTTTTTAAAAAAAAAAGTCTGTTTTCTCACAAATTAGTAATATGCTTCTATTTTGTCTTGTTCTATTCAATGTAAAAGACCATTTTAAGTCATTTTCTAATCACGAAAATCAAATAGAACAATGGCAAAGATTTTACTGACCATCACCTAAAAGTCATGTGAGAGTCAAACTCAACCTGAAGAGGACTTCATTTTTAAGAAGGAACAAACAGTGCCACATGTGACTTGTCTTCCTGATAGTAATACTGTAATACTTCACATATAAGGATGTTGGCCATCTTGACTTTTTTTGACCTCCTGCAGAAGCCTCTGATCTTACTCTAGGTTTGGAAGGTGGAACGTAGGTGAAAACGAGCGATACAATCCAACACAAGATACTTGTGCCTGTTATAGTTTTTTTCACCCAGAAGATGTCTAGAGTGGGCAGTTATGTGGGAGAGAGTTTTGCCACCTATTGAACAGAAAGCCTTGGCCTTTAGCTCTCAGGATGCTAAAGAGTTCTCCAAAGTTTTGAGTGTAGGAACTCTCTGAATATTCTTATCTTTATTTATATTTGAATCGGTCTTTTATAGAGATGAACAGCCCCTGATGGGTAGGGGCTGTATGCAGGGGTGGGATTGAAAAATTTCAGCAACTGGTTCGCTGCCCAGTTGCTGGGTGGGCGTGGCCATGGGGGCATGGCCTACTGAGCCTCCTGCACCACGGTGGAGAGGGATGTTTTTGCCCTCCCCAGGCTCCGGAGGCTTTCCTTGAGCCTCCAGGAGAGCGAAAACTGCCTCCCCTGGGCACCAGAGGCCCTCTGGAGGCCAGAAATGGGCCCGTTTCCGGACTTCCAGTACTTCCGGTAGGCCCGATTTTCACCCTCCCCAGGCTCTGGAGGCTTTCCTGAAGCCTCCAAGAGGGCCAAAACAGCCTCCCCCGGGCACCGGAGGCCGGAAACAGTCCCTTTTCCGGACTTCTGGTACATCCGGTAGGCCCATTTTTCACCCTCCCGGAGCCTCCACGTGTACCCTGCACTTACCTGGCATCTAAAACGGGCCGTGTGGAGACTCCTGGGAGGAGCAGAGCAGGGTAGGCGGGCTCAGCCAGTCCTTAGAACAACCAGTTCGGCGAACCAGATTAAAATTAACATCCGGTTCACCCAAACTGGTCTAAACCAGCTGAATCCCACCCCCGGCTGTATGGTTGTAGAGTTCCAAGAATCTGGTGCAAATCATTTCTCTCCTAAGGATTCCTCAATCCAAGGTATAAGAAACTATGGGTGTGGAGTGAACCCGCGCATCGGTTGCTTGCAAGCGTGGGTGGGCTTACTGGTCTCATCCTGGAGTGCTTTGTGGATGAACTCTGCAGCAGAGTCGAAGAACTGGCTCAGGTTGAAGGTGGGAAGGTCGTCTGCCTCCACTCCATGGTACTGGATGGCCATGTCCTCGTAGTAGCCGGGCCCCGTATCCACATTCCATCGTCCATGGGCTGCGTTGAGCACGTGGGTGAAGCCAGCTTTCTCGAGGCTGTATCGATCAAGTGCAGTTTTCCTGTGGTCAAAGCAGAAAGGGCTTTTTTTTAATTTGACAAAAATCCAAACGGGTGGCCGCAACCATACGAGTCCCATCTTTTTTGCCCTTTGCGTTACATGTTCAAAAGCGACCAGGGCTCTGATCCCACAGTCACAGGGGCCATCTGGATTTTTGCACCCCTCCCTGCTTCGGATGTGCAATACAGGTGGGAATGGGACAACTTGCCACAGCCAACTTGCTGCGGCTGTTGTGGCTCTGATCACCGAGCCTGTGTCATCAGCAGGAGAGGACTCCGAGAGTGAAGGAGAGGAGTTGGCAAGGCCTCCCTCTCCAGGACCCTCCTGTCTGGCAATGCCTCCGGTGTCCTCCAAAGGCCAAGAGATAGGGCCAGGGCCAAGCACTTCCACGCAGCCGCAGGTGGACAGTAATGATGATGATGATGAGTCTTGGCTGGACCCTCGACAGTGTCGCAGAGATAAGCGCGTGCAGCAGAGGAAGAGGCGTGCCAGGGATTAGGCTGAGTCACTGGACCACACTCCACAGGGTATAAAAGGGGGTGTGGTGGCTGTTCAAGCTCTGTGACGAGCAAAAACTGATATTGAACAAACCTCTCTGCATTGCTGGACTTTTTGAATATTCTCTTATCTCTTGTGTGTTGGCTTTGAAAAACACTCCCTTCGTAAGTAAAAGAATCTTGGCAGCCAGCCACTGGGTTGCTGCCAATTCTGCTCTTAGAGAAATCTTTGTCAGCTGGTTTATTTCACTATTGACTGTCTGTGGGGGTGCGTGTGTGAGACGGGGACAGAACAGTGGCCAACTCACCATGACCAGCTCAGCATGGCCAATTCTCCACAGCCAACTCATCACGGCCAACTCGCTGTGGGACAACTTGTTGCAGGACAATTTAAGAATTCTATTTAATTATTTAAAATAAATAAAAATTATTTTAATTTTAATTTTCCCTCCTTCTGCATCCTTTCTTTAATGATTCTATTCCATCATTTCTTTGATATTAGAGTAATTCTTGTCCCCTGCAGCTAGTTGGCTGTGACAAGTTGACTGTGGTGAGGTAGCCATGCCGAGTTGGCCATGGCGTATTGTCATAGACCAGGGCAGGGGTCACTTCCCGCCTGGATTACTGCAATGCTCTCTACATGGGGCTCCCCTTGAGGTGCAACTGGAGGCTCCAACTGGCACAGAGTGCAGCCGCACGGGTGGTTATGGGAGCGACATGGCGTTCCCATGTAACACCTCTCCTGCACGAGCTGCACTGGCTCCCGGTGGTCTTCTGGGTGCGCTTCAAGGTTTTGGTTACCACCTTTAGAGCGCTCCATGGCTTAGGACCTGGTTATTTACGGGACCGCCTGCTGCCACCAGTAGCCTCTCACTGGCCGGTACGCTCTCATAGAGTGGGGCTCCTCCGGGTGTCGTCGGCCAAACAATGTCGACTGGCGGCCCCCAGGGGGAGAGCCTTCTCTGTGGGGGCACCCACTATCTGGAACGAGCTCCCCCCAGAGATACGGAGGATCCCGGATCTACGCGCCTTCCGCCGCACTCTCAAGACCTTTTTATTCCATCAGGCTGGCCTGGCCTAACTGTTTCCCTTTCCCCCCTTTTTAAAACGTAAATTTTAATTTGTTTTTAATTTATTGGGGTGTTTTAAATCTGTCTTCGGCCGAATTGTTTAATTCGATTTTATTCAGTTTTAAATTTTGTATTTATGTTTTTTATCCTGTGGCTGTTCACCGCCCTGAGTCCTTCGGGAGTAGGGCGGTATACAAATCAAATAAAACTAAACTAAACTAAACTAAATGTTACCGGTTCGCACCGGTTCAGGCGAATCGGTAGTGGTGGTGGTGGGTAGTTTGGAGAACTGATCGCGGCGGCGGCAGCGCGAGGCTCCGCCCACCTGCCCAGACATCATTACTTGTTTTTTACCCTCTGTGCATGTCCAGAAGGCTTTGCACATGCACAGAGGGTCCAAAATCGCACAGGATGTGCTCGCACTTCGAAACTGGTAGGGAAGGTAAGTAGATTTCACTCCTGGACCAGGGATGTCAAACTCGATTTCATCAGGATTGTGTTTGACCTCGGGGGGGCCAAGTGGGCATGGCCAGCTTGATGTCCTGCAACCCTCCGCCAGCAAAAACAGAGCCCAGGAGAGCCACGCAGAACCCTTGCGAGCTCCGTTTTCGCTGGCAGAGGCACTGAGGGCTGGTCCTCCACTGTTTCCAGGATTTGTCCCGTGGGCCAGGTATAAGCAGATCTGCCTTGAGTTTGACACTCCTGCTTACAATTGTTCGAAGTTCATCAAACATTCAGAACTCCTCGTAGATGTATTGTGGGAGTAAAAAACAGGACCAAACTAGGATAAAAATTAAAAACAAGCAGAAGGGAAACATATGTCCTACCAGTCCTCCATCTTCCGGAACTCCCTGACACCCCTGCTTACAATTGTTCGAAGTTACAATGGCCCTGAAAAAAGTTACTTGTGACTGTTTTTCAAACTTATAACCATTGCAGCATCTCGATGGACACATGATCACAATTTGGAATGCTTGGCAATTGGTTTATATTTATGACACTTTTGCACGTGTCCCAGGGTCACATGATCAGTTTTCATGACTGACTGACAAGCCAAGTTGATCGGGAAGCCAGATTCATTTCACAACCGTACTATTAATTTAGCATCTGCAGTGGTTCATTTTGGCAAGAAGGGTCGTAAGATGGAGCAGAACTCACTTAACAACTGTGTCCTTTAACAAAAGAAATGTTGGGCTCAACATTTCTTTTGGGTCATAAATCATATAAATAAATCATAAGTCATAAATAAGGAGCCTTGGTAGTACAGTGGTTTAATGCACCCTGTTATTAACACAGCTGCCTGCAATTTCTGCAGGTTCGAATCTTACCAGGCTCAAGGTTGACTCAGCCTTCCATCCTTTCTAAGGTAGGTTAAATGAGGACCCAGTTTGTGGGGGCAATAAGCTGACTTTGTATAAATATACAAAAGTATGAAGGCTATTGCTTAACGCACTGTAAGCCGCCCTGAGTCTCCGGAGAAGGGCAGCATATAAATCAAATAAAAAAAAAAAAATCAAGGATTAAAATATCTTGGCTCCCAAGAGGCTTTTTGACACAACTTACTCGTCTCCTATGTAGAGGTTGGGCCAGACTTCGTTGACATGCGTGTATTTGGGGCTCCCTTTCCAGAAGAGCCTCTCCAAATCAAACGCTCCAGGTGTACAATAGTCACTCTCGGGGTCTACTTTAACCGCAGTGTAAGCACTTATTTTTCTAGATTTCACCGCAGATGAAGACATTTGGTCTCAAGAGTCCAAGGCTGGCACGTAGAAAGCTCGGATCCTGGATAAACAACAAGCAAAAAAGTGAGATGGGTGGAAAATATACAGGCAGGTAGATCTTCTGAATGGGTTCGTCCCTGGATTATTTTAGAGCAGTGCTTGGAAAAGTAATTCTTATGGAACCAGAAAAAAGAAATTCATTATGAAGGCTGATATATGACACAGGGCTTGATTACTTGAGATATAGAATAGAATAGAATTTTTTATTGGCCAAGTGTGATTGGACACACAAGGAATTTGTCTTGGTGCATATGCTCTCAGTGTACATAAAAGAAAAGATACGTTCATCAAGAATCATAAGATACAACACTTAATGATAGTCATAGGGTACAAATAAGCAATCAGGAAACAATATCAGTATAAATCGTAAGGATGCAGCAAAAAGTTACAGTCATACAGTCATAAGTGGGAGGAGATGGATGATAGGAACGATGAGAAGATTAATAGTAATGGTAATGCAGACTTAGTGAATAGTTTGACAGTGTTGAGGGAATTATTTGTTTAGCAGAGTGATGGCATTCAGGAAAAAAACTGTCCTTGTGTCTAGTTGTTCTGGTGTGCAGTGTTCTATAGCGTTGTTGTGAGGGTAGGAGTTGAAACAACTTATGTCCAGGATGTGAGGGGTCTGTAAATATTTTCACAGCCCTCTTTTTGACTCGTGCAGTATACAGGTCCTCAATGGAAGGCAGGTTGGTAGCCATTGTTTTTTCTGCAGTTCTAATGATCCTCTGAAGTCGGTGTCTGTCTTGTTGGGTTGCAGAACCAAACCAGACAGGTATAGAAGCGCAGATGACAGACTCAATAATTCCTCTGTAGAACTGGATCAGCAGCTCCTTGGGCAATTTGAGCTTTCTGAGTTGGCGCAGAAAGAACATTCTTTGTTGTGCTTTTTTGATGACGTTTTTGATGTTAGCTGTCCATTTTAGATCTTGCGATATGGTAGAACCTAGAAATTTGAAGGTCTCTACTGTTGATACTGTGTTATCTAGTATTGTGAGAGGTGGACGTATGGAAGGGTTTCTCCTAAAGTCTACCATCATTTCTACAGTTTTGAGTGTGTTCAGTTCCAGATTGTTCTGGTCGCACAATGAGGCTAGTCTTTCAACCTCCAGTCTTTATGCGATATTAAAGTATTAAACCTCCCGTTTCTTTCTTGGTGGTTCCTCTCTTAAGCCATGCCCATGTCAAGTTGTCATCACATTTTCCTTCGATGTTTTTCAAGTGCTGTCCATGCAGAGCTTTGGTTTTCCATCGATTTAATCTGTCATCCAACTGTTTTTCCTTATATTCTGCCTTTGTTTCTGTTGTTTTTATAATGTTCTCCGTTTTCACAGCCTGCAGCAATCTTTCTGTGCTTTGGTTACATAATCATTCACATTATTATTATTATTATTATTATTATTACTACTACTACTACTACTACTACTACTACTACTACTACTACTATGGTTGGTTGCAGAGTCAGCCAGATGTTCAGACTGGATTTGACATTGAGCACATTCCGTCCAGCTGAAATCCCTTTTAAGATTCATCTTCGAGCAAAAATGGGATTTAATGCCAAGAAAGAAGGATCTCCCTCAATTTCAGATCCTAATCTTTGAAAGACCATCTGTATTCTCCTTGCCTCCTAAAGATCTCCGGCTAGGACTTACCAAACCTGCCTGTTTAGTTCTGCCAGAAGATTCAACCCGGAGATTGCTTCATAGAATGTCCATTGTTAGACAGTTCAACTGGCAAAGGGACTCTGAATTTCCACAACAATGTACAGTACAAGGCAAATACTACTCAAAAACAGTGAATGGAATGAAATTGGGCATGCCAGTTACCTTGGAGAAACTTGACAGACTGTGATGGCGAAGAGGAGAAATTGCCTCCTAAATTTCTCTGGACCAGAAGTTTGGCTGACTCTCCCCCAACTCTCAGGCAGGAATGAACAGGGTTTCCCAGGCAAAGTCAAGGGCTCCGAGGTTCTCCAGATGTTTGTTTTTTTTTTACAGTCAGATTCAAAAGGCATCAATTCAAAAGCCCAACAGCAGATCTGGGAATCTGGAGGAGAGCCCTTGAGATAGGCTGGATTTTAGGGGAGGGAAGCAGAGTTAGATCCTTGGGTGGCCTCTATTCATTTCAAGGGGGCATGGCAAGGGCAGTTCTGCTGGTGGATGGTGTCCCTGATGGCCTACAATCTAGAAATAATAGCAATAGCCCTTAGACTTATATACCACTTCATAGTCCTTTTACTGCACTCTCTAAGAAGTTTACGGAGTCAGCACGTTGCCCCCAACAATCTGGGTCCTCATTTTACCCACCTTGGAAGGATGGAAGGCTAACCTTGAGCCGGTCAGGATCGAACTGATGGCAACGGGCAGAGTCAGCCTGCAATTCTGCATTTTAACCACTGCACCACCATGGATCTATTTGCCAGGTAGACACAGCCATACAGCATAGCGCAGTGGTTAGAGTGCAGCACTGCAGGCTACTTCTACTGACTGCTTGCAATTTGGCAGTTCGAATCTCACCAGGCTCAAGGGTGACTCAGCTTTCTATCCTTCTTAGGTCAGTAAAATGAGGACCCAGATTGTTGGGGGCAATAGGCTGATTTTTTTAAAACTGCTTAGAGAGGGCTGTAAAGCACTATGAAGTCTAAGTGCTGTTGCTATTGCTATCGAGAGACAGACAGAGACAGACAGACAGACAGACAGACAGACACACACACACACACACAGAGAGAAAGACCATCTTGGATTTCTTGACCCACTGCAGTTGGACCTGCAATCTGTTATACAGGTAGTCCTTGACTTACGACCACAACTGAGCCCAAAATTTCAGTTGCTAAGTGAGACATTTGTTAAGTGAGTTTTGCCCCATTCTTGCCACGGTTCTGAACTGAATCACCGCAGATATTCACTTAGTAACATCGTTGTTAAGTGAATCTGGCTTTCCCATTGACTTTGCTTGTCAGAAGGTCGCAAAGGGGGATCGCATGACCCCCGGGATACTGAGACCCTGTCATAAGTATGAGTCAGGTGCCAAGAATCTGAACCTTGATCACATGATCACGGGGATGCTGTAATGGTCATAAGTGTGAAAAACAGTCATAAGTCCCTTTTTTTCCAATGCCGTTGTAACTTTGAACGGTCACGAAATGAACTGTTGTAAGTTTAGGACTACCTGTATTGCAACAATAATAATTATTATAATAGCAATAAGAAATTTGAAACAAACAGTAAAGATCTTAACAGAAGTTATATCCTATGCGATCCTGTCCAAGCTGACTTAATAGAAGAGGGAGGATGATTTAAAGCAGGGGTGTCAAACTCAAGGCACAGGAGCCGGAGCCGGCCTTCGGAGGGCTTAGATCTGACCCATGGGACTTCCCTGGAAACAGTGAAGTACCAGCCTGCAGTGCCTCTGGCAGGTTGCAGGAGGCTGTCGCAGCCGAAAACAGAGCTTTCAAGGGCAGCAGGAGGCCCTCCGTTTTCACTGGCAGAGGCCGTCACAGCCTAAAACAGAGGTCAGGAGCTCATTTTCGCAGGCCACCAGAGGCGCCCTGACACAAGTGATGTCGAGCTGGCCACGCCCACCCCGGCCACACCCACCCACGCCCTCCCGAGGTCAAACACGACCCTGATGGGGCCCTCAATGAAATCGAGTTTGACACCCCTGATTTAAAGCATTTCAAACTGCTGTTAGTTATTAATTGTTTCAAACAATTGTTTCAAACTCCTTGACAGAAAGGAGGAATACATCTACATAATAAATAACCATTATTATGGCTATTTGTTACTGTTATTTCCATTTTTATACTCCTGTTCTTTCCGAGGGGAACAGGAGAGTTTTATAAGATGAGCTGTACAAAAAGAATAAAAAAAACACCTGAGCGTATAAGATAACCTCTTATCTTCCAATAAAATATGGAAAAATGCAAAAAGTAGGATAAAGTTGATTTTTAAAAGATGCTCCTTCCTGTAAATGTTTGAGAAGGAAAGACATGAATTAAAAAGAGGAGGAATTAATTGGCAGAGAAGAAACATCCCGCAGTGAAAGAGCGCAAATGACACACTTTGAAAACTTTTCAAAAAGGATATAGCCAGGGGTGGGCTGCTGGAGGTTCACAGGGATTCGGGAGAACCTCTAGCTAAGATTCTGTGCAGTTCAGAGAACCCCCAAATCCCACTCCTGGCTGGCCCTACCTACCCCACCCCACCCTGGTGTCTGGAGGCCGTGCGGATCTGGATGGGGAGGAACAGGCTCAGGCTCAACCCATCCAAGACCGAGTGGCTGTGGTTTCCGACGTCAGTCAGTTGATGCCATCGCTGACTATTGGGGGTGAATCGCTGGCCCCCACGGAGAGGGCTCGCAACTTGGGTGTCCTCCTGGATTCACGGCTGTCTTTAGAAGAGCACTTGACGGCCGTGACCGGGAGGATTTTTGATCAGGTTCACCTGATTCGCCAGTTGCGTCCCTTTCTGGATCGGGACTCCCTACACACAGTCACTCATGTCCTCGTCACTTCCCGCCGGGACTACTGTAACACTCTCTACATGGGGCTCCTCTTGAGGAGCACCCGGAGGCTCCAACAGGCGCAGAGTGCAGCCGCGCGGGTGGTTATGGGAGCAACATGGCGCTCCTGTGTGACACCTCTCCTGCACAAGCTGCACTGGCTTCCGGTGGTCTTCTGGGTGCGCTTCAAGGTTTTGGTTACCACCTTTAGAGCGCTCCATGGCTTAGGACCTAGTTATTTACGGGACCGCCTGCTGCCACCAATAGCATACCACCGGCCGGTACGCTCTCATAGAGGGGGGCTCCTCCTGGTGCCGTCAGCCAAACAATGTCGACTGGCGGCCCCCAGGGGGAGGGCCTTCTCTGTGGGGGCACCCACTATCTGGAACGAGCTCCCCCCAGAGATACAGAGGATTCCGCCGTGCTCTTAAGACCTTCCTATTCCAGCAAGCCAGCCTGGCCTAATTTTCTCCCCTGTTTTAAAATTCTTTTAAATCGAAATTTTAATCTGTTTTAAATTATTGGGATTTTTAATTGTCTCGGGCTAAATTATTTAATCTGATTTTAATTATGTTTCTAACTTTTGTATCTATGTATTTTATTTTGTGCCTGTTCACCGCCCTAAGTCCGCCCTAAGTATGTAATTTTAATAAAAACAAACAAAAACAAACCTCTCCCAGGAGTCCCCACGCAGCCTCTTTTGGATGCAGATAACTGCAGAGCGTGCACAGAGGCTTGGGGAAGGTGAAAAATGGGCCTGCCGGAAGATCTAGAGGGCCCCTGGAGCCTGGGGAGGCTGTTTTTGCCCTCCTGGAAGCTCAAGGAAAGCCTCCAGAGCCAGGGGAGGGCAAAAATGCCCCCCCTGCCATGGTGCAGGAGGCCGAGTAGGCCACGCCCACCATGGCCATGCCCACCCAACAACCGGGCACAGAACCCCTTGCTAAAATCTTGGAAGCCCACCCCTGGATATAGCGTAATACATGAGGGCAATTTATAGATAATAACATATCCCTGCTAGGTTTATGCATGAATGGCAAAATATATTTATGTATTTAAAATCTGTTGAAATGGCAGCGTAGGTTGTATTACATATGCCATGGAGCATGGAATTCAATAATTTATTTTCAAAAAAAGCAATGTAACCATAGAATCTTTATAGTGAGCCAAAACCAAACTCCGATGTGAGAAAAATACATTCTCCTTCAATCACTTAATGCAGCAGGTCCTAAAATTAAAGAGTAAGCCAAAAGAGAAAAGAAAACGAATGAATGGGTTACTCCAGCCATCCTCACCTGTGTAATTCAATCTAAATTAACATTATGGCCAAAAGATTAAATGTCTCATTGGAATAAATAATTACATTTTAGTGTAACGAATTCTTCCTACTCAACAAAAGGACAACGATTTGAACCATTTTTGATCCAAGTCGTAAGCGGATGGAAAATTTTCAGAAACTTCGATATTGTCCTGTTTTTTTTCAGACAAGGTTTTTTTTTTTTTTTCAAAATAGGAAGATTAGCTTAAAAGCTGAAAGTCGGAGTCCAGAAGATCAAATTCCATCAGGAAACCTATTTCTTTCAAACTATTATAGACTGTCTTTTAGACAGAATTCCAGGGTAAAGAAAACCCCAGCCCGGTATACTAGACCACAGAGTCATAAATTATATGACAGACGAGGAGACCATTGAAAATCAAAACCAGTGTTTACATTTAAATATATTAAAACCAGGAAACTAACAAGAGACAGCTGCTGAAGGATTCGGTATCGTAAAATATTAAAGAAAAGCAGGGATTCAAAATTAATTCCTTTTCATTGCAGGAGATATTGCATGGAGTAATGTTCTCAAACCATTGTTTATTTTATTTTTTTTGGCAAGCTTCTTATATCCTGCCTTTATTTTGGGTGATGTAAAGGTGGCACACATGCCTACTGCTCTCATCTCCTACCCTGTTTCCCCGAAAATAAGACATCCCCCAATAATAAGCATAATCGGGCTTTTGAGCGCATGCTCAAAATAATCAAGAACTAATCTAGGAGAGAAGAAACCTGGAATTAAGGAGAAACTTCTTAACAGTGAGGACAATTAACCAGTGGAACAGCTTGCCACCAGAAGTTGTGGGTGCTTCATCCCTGGAGGTTTTCAAGAAGAGATTGGAAACCACTTGCCTGAAATTGTATAAGGTCCTGTTGAGCAGGTGGTTGGACTAGAAGACCTCCAAGACCTCCTTTCCAGTTCTATTCTGATTGATTGATTTCCATCCCAATCTTGCAGTGAAATCTGTTTGGGTTTTCATGATTATTTCCTTCCTTGTTTAAAAAATGTAATGCATTTTTAAGGAGAAATGAGAGGACTACCTCCCCCCTCTTTAATTATTGCTTAAAGCCATTAAGTGCAGATCTGCTGATGACATCTATGGGAAAGAG